CACTATCTACTGGAATTTAATTGGAAAAAATACAGGGTGGTCCAAGATTCAGAATTTTGATCACCCTGTATCTGTTCCAATTAAATGTCAGTAGATAGTGAATCAAAAGTTAAGATAGGGACATGTAAGCCGTTTTGATCGATAATGAATAGTTTCGAGACAAAAAATTCCTGAAATTGAAAAATTTCGATTTTGAACACCCTATATCTCTGTAATAATTCCTGCTAGACCCCAAGTGTGATACATTGATGAAATCAGCTCTTCAAGAAGAATCTAGATACGAAAAAAAAATACAGGGTGTTCCATTTGAAATAAAAAGTTGCTAGTTGTTTCTGATAGAAGTGGCAACACTGTATCGATGAATATATTTTAGAAGGATAGAGAATGTTCAATTATCAAAGCATCTCAATTTTCAGAATGTGTTGTCTTTTCGTTCTCCAGATGCTTCTAATAGGCGATCCACCGTGGATCACCCTGTATATCCTAATTTTATTTTTCAAGATGGACATGCCGGTTTTGTAAAAAATATATATGTATAGAACATTCTGTATCTGTTTATCAAGTATTTACGGCAAAATAATTGTTATACATGGTGTTTATACTGTTTATTGCAACGATACTAAAAATGCATACCATTTTTATTTTGATTCGTTTTTTTTTCTGTTATAAGAATAGGAAATTATTCCCCGTTCATTTCATTACTATTTGTCCATATTAATGATTTATTATCAGAAATCAAATTTCATTTATGAAATTTGATTCCTCTTTTTTCGGGTATATAAGACCAAATGAAGATTTCTTCAAATATAATAAAAACTCCAAGTCTCAAATTCAAGAAGAAGGGGGGGGGGCATGTTTCGGACTCGAAAGGTATCCATCATCAACCAGAAAGAAATTATTGTGGAGAAGAAAATGGCAAAAACATGGTTATAATGAGCATGATAAAACGGTTATTAGAACATGTTTATACACTCAGTTCCAAAAAAGTGACGCTCTTGATATTTGACTTACCTATCTTCTTAAAAAAAAAAAAAATAGTAGGCCGATTTTCATTTATTTTAATTTGTTGGTAGGAAATGCATTTCTTCAAAAAAAAATAAAGAGGTGAAAATGTTTTCAAAGCCTCCTTGATGGTGGTGGAATAACTCGAACCATGATTTATTCTTAATTTTTGACTCACCCTGTGTGTTAATTGAGTAATGGTATACAAAGTGCTTACACCCTATACGAAAGAGGCTTCTTTTGCGAGCATTTTGTTTCTTTATTCATTGATTTATCTCTAAAAGTTTCCGATTTACAGCTTTTTTGCTGATACCTTACGCTTATCCCACAAATTAAATTTAATGAAGGATCAGAGTACTCAAAATTGATTGGGTTGTACTCTGGTAGGATCACATTGTCTTTAAAAAACAAATGCCGTTGCCATAGCAACTAATTTGTTGTATGATTTCGACATTGATGAAATAAACCTCTGGTGCGCTCACTCTTCATTTGTTTCGTCAGACTGGTTCTTGATATAAACAATTGAATTTCAGACGATGACGTGGGGTTCACATATCGAATGTTAGATGGCGTGATTCTTAGAACTTATCAAGGTTGGTAGAACTGATGACTATTTTGTAGAGGAAGGTTGCCTCGATCGCACCCCGCGAGTAACCTTGAGTAACTCATGACGCAATAGGCCCTTTCTTTTGCACGAAAAGTGTAGCACTCTCGTACACTTCGTGTATGATATGTACGCCGGCGATTGGCCGGCGCATGTATTGAGTTGACAGTTGTCAGTATTTTCGAATATTTGAACCATTTTGAACTTGAAAATGTAAAAATGATAATTTGTTCGGTCACTTCTTGTTAAAATTCGTACAAGTGTAATGAGACTAGTGAATTTAGTTTGTGTTTCCATTCATTTTCATGAGATAAGTCGATTCGTGAGAAATGGATTCAATTTTGTGGACGTAATTTCAATTCATTTAATACCAAAACTTGGCGAATATGTTCTGCCCATTTCGATGCCGCGGATTTTGAACGGCACAAGCAGAATTGCTAAATCACAAACCAAAGAGAAGAAAACTCAAGGTAGGAATCCCATCAATAATACCAAATACAACAAGGGAAACACCATAAGTATGGAAGTTTGGAAAAATGATCAGAACCAGACCAGTTGTGAATGTTGAGATTCTTGCTGAACGGGTAAAATGGACATCAGAAGATATCACACGTGTTTTCAAGTTGAGATATTTGAGCAAGAGTACGTTACCCAACGAAGAGGAGCTATGTTTATTTGAGAGATTCCTTGAACTATCCTTTATTATAGGTTCACTTATAATAGTAGTGTTATTTTTCATTAATTTTGTTCAGAATCATATTTTGTTATTTTTTTATGCTCAAATACTTCGATCAATTGCTCTGTTTTTGACTACAGTATAATCATACAATGAAATACTATTTCCTCTTGTATTTTCTTTAGGTATCTAGGAAATTCTGTTAATTTTTCATAATACAGATTTATATTGATAAAATAAGTGATCTGTTGTGTACGATTATTGGTCCACTGCTACTACTTCTGGATCATCAGTTGATTATTCTTATATTTTCTGTAGTTTCTTGTTCACATTATCTGATTTGCAGGATATTTATAGGATGAGTAGGTTCATAATCAATGCATAAGTAATCACTAGCTCCATAATTATGCTCCATACCTCAAAACACACATACCTGGTACCACGACCTGGTAAATAGCCCTTGGAACAAAATTTCAGATAGGTATTCCTCTCTGTACTACTGATCCATCCAAAATTGCCTTCTCATTTCGAAGATTGAAGGTATTATACAGAATGTATATGTAAATATCCATATTTTATAATGGTACTTACTTATAATTATATACTATAAATTAATATAAATATGCTGAGCAGACCAAAAAGTTTGTATCATGTTTGTATACTCTATTTGGTAAACATTTCATGACATGTCGCTTTAAGGTTGACAACTTGTCGTCTTACTGCTTGTGACGACACGAGTGACCGTTTCCCCCCTTGCCGCACTATCGATCGAGGCAACCTTCCTATACAAATTATAATCAGTTCTACCAACCTTGGAACTTATGATCAACATCAGTTCTACCAACCTTGATGCGGCTAAATCGCAAAATGTATTCCCTATCTTCATTGGTCACAATTCGGTCACAATTGTCACATTGATGCCTGTAATTTTGGTACGGCACCAGACTAAATTTAGCGACATTCACCCACGCCATGTTATGTTTATCGAAGTAGGCGAAAATCAAGGAATTGTAAAACAGGAAAGGATTGAAGTGCGTACACCAGAGGTTTATTTGATCAATATTTCGACCATGGTTGTATGCCTCCATATTTGACCATTTGTCATTGTGTCATTAATAAAGTGTCTTGTTTTATTGACTAAAATTACATAAAATGTCTCAAATAAATCCTGAACAAGTAGCGAGATTAGTTGCGTTAGTAAACGATGGACGTAGTGAACGTTACGCCGCTTGTGCAATGGGAGTTCATGAAGCAACTGCTCGTACGAACAAACAGGAAGCACCGCTCGGAGGGTCAGTTCTGGTCGCCCCCGAAAAACTTCTCCAAGAGATCATCGCTTCTTGAGATTGCGGATTTTACGGAATCGATCAAATACTGCGGTAAATGTTCAGCAAGATCTTCGCCGATTTCGTGATGTTGCAGTAAGTAAGCAGACGGTATGTAGACGTCTAAAAGAAGTTAATTTAAAAGCTAGGAGACCTGCAAAAGGTCCCGAATTATTGCCCGAACATCGTGCTGCTAGAAGAAATTTTGTTGAAAATTATGGACAGTGGAATATTCCTGAATGGTCGAATGTCTTGTATACGGATGAGTCAAGGTTTTGCCTTAACATAGTGGATGGAAGAAAAAGAGTGTGGAGAAGAACTGGTGAACGGTTTGATCAAAATTCAATAACAGAATGCGAAAGTTTTAATGATGCGTCCGTTATGGTGTGGGGAGGGATTTCAATGAATGGAAAGACACCCCTTCATGTTTTTCTGGTGAGGCAGTCGATGAATGCCCAAATTTACATTGACATTTTAGAGCAGTATGTCTTACCTTATGCAGAGTTAGTGGGCAATAGTTTTATATTGATGCAGGATAATGCTCGATCACACACCGCAGCAATAGTGCGAAACTTCTTAGAAGCTACTGGTATTACCACGACATTACAATGGCCCCGATATGAATCCTATAGAACATTTAGAACATTTGTGGGATGAATTAGGGAGAAGGGTACGTTCTCGCGAGAGGTCTCCGGAAAGTTTCGCAGAAATGGCAGATGCATTAGTGGAAGAATGGGATCGTATACCAATGGAAACGATAAGGATTCAGCAAAAAAAGCTGTAATTCGGAAAATTTCAGAGATAAATCAATGAATAAAAAAACAAAATGCTCGCAAAAGATGCCTCTTTCGTATAGAGGTGAGCACTTTCTATGCCATTACTCAACTAACACACAGGGTGAGTCAAAGATTAAGAATAAATCATGGTTCGAGTCATTCCACCACCATCAAGGAGGCTTTGAAAAAAATGTCACCTCTTAATTTTTAAGACAAATGCATTACCTACCAACAAATAAAAAACGGCCTATTTTTTTTTTTAAGAAGATAGGTCAAATATCAAGTGCGTCACTTTTTTTGGAACTGAGTGTAGTTTTAAATAAAAATTCAAAATGAAGAAAACAGGTAACATTATTTGAATTGGGGCCCTATACCCCAGATATTTGCTCAACGACCCCGTACATTTGGTAGCAGCAAGCATTCTATTAACCGTTTTACCACGCTCATTGTAACTATGTTTTTGCCTTTTTCTTCTCCACAATAATTTCTTTCTGGCTGATGATGGATACCTTTTGGGTCCGAAACATGGAGAGTTTTCATCATATTTCAACTACTTCACTCCACTTTGAGATAACATGAACTTCTACAATGGATTGAAGATGTCTTCTTCCTTCACTTCAATGACATCCATCTCGTTCGTCCAATGGAAGCTCGTTGTATTCAATTTCGATCTTGCACTTATTTTCAGTGATATCGGTCTCGCAATGGTCTTCTTCTGATGCGAAAGAATCACCACCATGTTCATCAAACTCACATTCGGATGGTTTTATATTATTGGTGTGTCCAATCAGATGGCATTTTGTCGAGAACTTTTCATCATCACCAGTATGACTTTCGAATGGTATATCGCCAATGCCTTCCTCAAGGTGTTCATTCGTTTCAAACTTCAAGGGTTTCACACTATAATGCTGCACCGTACGGTGTTTATTCATGATTCCTTTTTGTCTAAATTTCTTATGGCAAATGTCGCATTCAAAGGGTTGTTCGCCAGTGTGCAGTGTGAAGTGTCGAGTCAAAGTTCCTCTTCGTCCAAACTTCCTTTGGCAAATTTCGCACTCAAAAGGTTTTTCGCCAGTGTGCACTTTGAGGTGTCTATTGAAGGATGTTTTGTGCACAAACTTTCTATGGCAAATGTCGCACTCGAAAGATTCTTCACCACTGTGCACCTTGAGGTGTAAATTCAAACTTCCTCTACGACCAAACTGCTTATGGCAAATCTCACACTCGAAATTTTTCTCCTCATTATGTACCTTGAGGTGTTCATACAAATTTCCTCTAAGGCCAAACTTCTTGTGGCAAATGTCGCACTCGAAGGGTGTCTCACCAGTGTGCAGATTGAGGTGTCCTTCCAAATTTCTTTTTCGTACAAACTTTTTATGGCAAATTTCGCACTCGAATGGTTTTTCGCCAGTGTGCACTATGAGGTGTTCATTCAAAAATCCTATTCGCGCAAACTTCTTATGACAAATGTCGCATTTAAAGGGTTTCTCATCAGTGTGCATCTTAAGATGTCTTTTCGAAACAATTTTTTGATCGGATTTTGCCTGGGCAATATCACACTCAGAGGGTTCTTCCTCATGATGTACCTTGAGGTGTTCATTCAAACTTTCTTTTCGCCTAAACTCCTTATGGCAAATATCGCATTCAAAAAGTATTTCAGCAGTGTGCAGATTGAGGTGTCTCTTCAAAGATTTCTTATACTTGAACTTTTTAAGACAAATGTCACACTGGAAGGGTGTTTCGCCAGTGTGCACTCGGAGATGTCTGTTCAAAACTGCTTGTTGCCTGAACGTATTATGACAAATGTCGCACTTAAAGGGTTTTTCGCCAGTGTGCACCATACGGTGTCTTTTCAGATCCCTGTTATGACGAAATTTTGTGTGGCAAATGTCACACTCGAAACGTTTTTCCACATTATTCATTTTGAGGTATTTATTTATTTATGTAACAATATTGCGCACTTGAAGGGTATCTCACCAGTGTGAACGTTGAGGTGTTCAGACAAAATGTTTCTTTCTCTGAACGTTTTATGACAGAAGTTGCACGCGAATATACTGTGTACAGCATACGGTGGTGTATTCAATGATCCTCTACGCCTGGACTATTTATGACGAATGTCACACTTGAAAGGTTGTTCGCCAGTGTGCAACTTGAAGTGTATATTCAGAGCACCTTTGTGTCCAAACTTTTCACGGTAAATATCGCACTAAAAGGGTTTCTCACCAGAGTGCAGACAGACTGACTGTATTTTCAAACTTCCTCGTTGCCTTAACTTTTTTTGGCAAAGGTCGCACTCGAACCTCTTTTCGCGTGTGTGTAGTCTGATGTGAATTTTCAAATCCTCCTCAGTTCGATGTTTTTGATAGCGAATATGACATTAGAATGCCAGTGTGCAAGTTTTGGCTTGAATTCTGCATTGCAAATCTCCTAGTCGTGTGATATATCTATAGGTACTCATTTTTTAGTTTGGAACCACTCGTGTAGGGATGAATTTTCAAAAAATCAGCCATGGCGCTTCTACCTGCAAAGATAAAAAATGCAGGCATTTTAGGATGAATGCATTGAATGTATCGATCAAGACTTGTACCAAGTATACTAGACGAAACAGTGGCGGATTTAAGGGGAGGGTCGAAGGAGGTTTCCCTGGCGGAAGAAAACCGAGATTCTCGGACAAAATGTGCATTGACCACAAAATTGATTTTGGATGTATGACAAAATGATATTCATCATACAGGACGTGGAAAGAAATTCTGAATTAAAAACCTAATCACGAATCTGCGATTGAAGGTCTATAAAAATAAGAAGTTTTCATCGTTCAAGTTTGGACCCCTTGATTGGACAAAAGTATTGAAAAGGAATATTCTCAGATAAATTATGAACATGACAAAATGGATATATAAATAAAGAAATACATAGAGAATTCGCATTCTCTATATGACATGAAAATATCAAATTTTTCTCGGTTTATTCAACAGAAAACAACTACTTTCCTGGCAATATGCCACGACAAACATTGAATTATATCTATTGAACACACACGATAAGAATTTGAACACAAAATCTTATAAAGTTGAAAATTTGCATTCTCCTTCAGATAAAAATATGTATATGCACATAACATCATTTTTAATATTTAACATTCGTTTTCACATCAAAGATCACATGGGACTGCTTTGAAACACTCATGCAACTGGGAAAGGCCAACAAAGTCACACTTATGTGGGTTCCAGGGCATGAAGGAATCAAAGGAAATGAAGCAGCTGATCGCCTTGCAAAAAAAGGTGCAGCATCTGCAACTCCAGGTCAACGACAAGCGAAAAGGTTCATCAACCATTCGCAGAACCGAGCCAAAGTGCTACTCAGCCTCAGCAAACCAGAGCTAAAGCTTATCACAGGCTTTCTCACTCTGAGGTACCACCTCAAAAAGATGGGTCTGGCGGAGACTGACACTTGCCGCTTTTGTAACAATGCGACCGAAACCGCGGAACACATACTTTGCTCATGTGAAGTATTAGTCCGCCAAAGGCTGAACCACCTAGAACAGGTCTATCTCACCCCTGCTGAGGTGGAAAATTCAACCGTCAGGAAAATTGTAGGCTTCATCAGAAGTCTAGGGTTAGAGGACCATAACTAGATAAGGGTAATCACAATAGATCTTCTAGGTCGCAGTGATCGAAAGGTCTCCCAGCCTATACGACCTATCAACAATCTACAATATTTAACAGAAAACAACTACTTTTCTAGCTATTCGCCACGTCGAACATTGAATTATATCTGTTGAACATCCAGAAGGAGAGCATGAAAAATAAAAATACTTTGAAATTGAGAATTGACAATCTCTCAACTCTGATTAATAATATTCGTGATTAGGTTTTCTCGATTCAGAATTTCTTTCCACGTCCTGTATGATAAATATCAACTTGTCATACATCCAAAAACAAAAACCGAATGATAGGGATTGAATGTCAACAATAATTCTCAGATGTCAGTTTCGTTATAGTTTTAGTTATATTATAGATTGGTGAAGATTATTTTTTCTAATTTCGACATATAATTTGACACTTTTCAAAACTGACGGAAGTTTTGGAACGTCTTAGTTTACGTAATCAGTTGCCTTAAGTAAAATATTACATAACTGGTGATGTAATGTTCATTTCAACACCAGTTTTTGTGTGAAGAGTCGGCAGAACTCATGTAAAACTGGTCATTATTTTTGTTCATGCGAAATGTTTCGTCAAAATTAGAAAAAATATTGTACGTGACACGTTAGGAAACGCCATTTTGTGTAACTCTGTGATGTTGCGGGATCTCGTTTCGCTCGTCCCACAAAATTCCATTGTTACACAAAATGACGTGTTTCCAAACTGGTTACGTGAATATCTAGTGTATATCATGAAGAATGACTGAAAGATAACTGGGCTTCAGGTTATTGAGTTAGGGTTTGAAATCCGAAATGAGTTGATTCGAATATGAGTCATATAACCTGTTAGTGACAGATATAATTCGCATATCACTGATGCGAATGTTTTTTTTTTCAAGCTCATCAAGAACAGAGTTTATACAAGTGAGGTACGTATTTTTTTAAAGGTATCAGATTAGTATAGATGTAGTTTTCATTAGGTATTAGATTAGTATAATAGAGGTCAGATAATTTATACGACGCTATAAAAGCAGATGATATTTTATCATTGCTCATGTAAGATGGAAGTAGATGCCATGGCACCATATCATGAGCATATTTTTATATTTAAACTATCATTGGGCACCAAAGATGTGTATACGACGCTATGAAAGTTCAGAGAACTGGAGATTTTTCCCACAAACTACGTACTTAGCCCACTCGACTGTCTTGGTTTTTCCACACAAACTACGTACCTAGCCCACTCGACTGCCAATAGGGGCTAAAACAACAAAAACAAAAGAAAGTTAAAACAATGCCAACATATTTTGGCGAAAAATAAAGACAGTCGAGTGAGCTAGGTACGTAGTTTATGAGAAAAAAATCTTTTGTTTTTTGTTTTGTTTTCTATTGGCAAGTGATTATCTAGGAACTTGTAATTTTTTTAGTTTTTTCATCGTATCTCCCGAACTATTGAATTCAGAGAAAAATGTTATACGGATTTTTTGTAGATTCTATCGAAAGGAATAATTTTGGTTCCATACCATTTCCAGATATTTTCAGTTGTTTTCGAGATATTTGGAATTATCTGAGAATAAAATTTTCAACACTTTTGTTCCATCTTCCAATCAACAAAAGGAAAAAGTATTTCATGGTTCAATGGAAGTCGATGAGCTTCACCTATCGATAATCTTTGTTTTTCAATATATCTTCATATGGTATTGGGTTTACAGAAGAAATTATAGGTAATAATTTGTAGGGAATGTTCCAGTGGATAACTTTGCACTTCTGATAATTTTCGATTTTTCCATTTGTTTTCGATATATATTATTAAATTGAAAGGATTTCAAATTTTGATGTTTTGATTTTTATTTGTTTTTCCATTTTTCGATGGATGCACGAAAAAATGGTAATATAATAATTTGTTGCGTCATCAAAGAGGCATACGGTGCATTTTTCAAATTTGGATTTAGTCTATTGGTTCAGGAGATATGTCGTTTCAAGGCGACCCTGCTCAATTTCAATAGGCTTCGTCTCTCCCTGATAGAGTATTTTTTCACAAATGCATCACCTACCAACAAATAAAAAAAAATAAAAAACGGCCTACTATTTTTTTTTAAGAAGATAGGTCAAATATCAAGTGCGTCACTTTTTTTGGAACTGAGTGTAGTTTTAAATAAAAATTCAAAATGAAGAAAACAGGTATCATTATTTGAATTGAGGCCCTATACCCCAGATATTATAACCATGTTTTTGCCTTTTTCTTCTCCACAATAATTTCTTTCTGGCTGATGATGGATACTTTTTCGGTTCAAAACATGGAGAGTTTTTATCATATTTTAATTACTTCACTCCACTTTGAGATAACATGGACTTCTACAGTCTTCACTTCAATGACATCCATCTCGTTCGTCCAATGGAAGCTCGTTGTATTCAATTTCGATCTTGCACTTATTTTCAGTGATATTAGTTTCGCAATGGTCTTCTTCTGATGCGAAAGAATCACCAACATGTTCATCAAACTCACGTTCGGATTGCTTCACATTATTGGTCTGTCCAATCAGATGGCATTTTGTCGAGAACTTTTCATCATCACCACTATGACTTTCGAATGGTATATCGCCAATGCCTTCCTCAAGGTGCTCATTCGTTTCAAACTTCAAGGGTTTCACACTATAGTGCTGCACCATACGGTGTTTATTCATGATTCCTTTTTGACTAAATTTCTTATGGCAAATGTCGCACTCGAATGGTTTTTCGCCAGTGTGCACTATGAGGTGTTCATTCAAAAATCCTATTCGCGCAAATTTCTTATGGCAAATGTCGCATTTGAAGGGTTTCTCATCAGTGTGTATCTTAAGATGTCTTTTCGAAACAATTTTTTGATCGGATTTTGTCAGGGCAGTATCACACTCAAAGGGTTCTTCCTCATTATGTACCTTGAGGTGTTCATTCAAACTTTCTTTTCGCCTAAACTCCTTATGGCAAATTTCACACTCGAAAAGTATTTCAGCAGTGTGCAGGGTGTGTGTGAGGTGTCTCTCCAAAGAATTCTTGTACTTGAACTTTTCAAGACAAATGTCACACTGGAAGGGTGTTTCGCCAGTGTGCACTCGGAGATGTCTGTTCAAAACTGCTTGTTGCCTGAACGTATTATGACAAATATCGCACTTAAAGGGTTTTTCGCCAGTGTGCACCATACGGTGTCTTTTCAAATCCCTGTTATGACGAAATTTTGTGTGGCAAATGTCACACTCAAAACGTTTTTCCACATTATTCATTTTGAGGTATTTATTTATTTATGTAACAAAATTGCGCACTTGAAGGGTATCTCACCAGTGTGAACGTTGAGGTGTTCGGACAAAATGTTTCTTTCTCTGAACGTTTTATGACAGAAGTTGCACGCGAATATACTGTGTACAGCATACGGTGGTGTATTCAATGATCCTCTACGCCTAGACTATTTATGACGAATGTCACACTTGAAAGGTTGTTCGCCAGTGTGCAACTTGAAGTGTATATTCAGAGCACCTTTGTGCCCAAACTTTTCACGGTAAATATCGCACTAAAAGGGTTTCTCACCAGAGTGCAGACAGACTGACTGTATTTTCAAACTTCCTCGTTGCCTTAACTTTTTTTGGCAAAGGTCACACTCGAACCTCTTTTCGCGTCTAATGTGAATTTTCAAATCCTCAGTTCGATGTTTCTGATAGCAAATATGACATTAGAATGCCAGTGTGCAAGTTTTGGCTTGAATTCTGCATTGCAAATCTCCTAGTCGTGTGATATATCTATAGGTACTCATTTTTTAGTTTGGATCCACTCGTGTAGGGATGAATTTTCAAAAAAATCAGCCATGGCGCTTCTACCTGCAAAGATAAAAAATGCAGGCATTTTAGGATGAATGCATTGAATGTATCGATCAAGACTTGTACCAAGTATACTAGACGAAACAGTGGCGGATTTAAGGGGAGGGGGGAAGGAGGTTTCCCTGGCGGAAGAAAATTAAAAACCTAATCACGAATCCGCGATTGAAGGTCTATAAAAATAAGAAGTTTCCATCGTTCAAGTTTGAACCCCTTGATTGGGCGAAAGTATTGAAAAGGAATATTCTCAGATAAATTATGAACATGACAAAATGGAAATACCGGGTGTCAACGAATCTATTAGACAAGTCATAACTTCTGGACCATTAGGTGTATCAAAATGAGATTTGGTATAGGTGAATGGTATGTGAAGAGGAGAGTTTTCACATATTTTTCACTTCCCGGTCACTTCCGGTTTTACCGGAAATGGCTCCGGTTCTAAATTTTTAAATGGAACACCCTGTATATTGTAACATTTTTGGATGTCTGAGACAATTCTAGATCAGAATGTGACATTTTCGAGAGTTTTTATGCCAACTCAATTTTTTCGGAGTCACTTTTGAAATTACATCTAGGTGGCCAAGATCGGAAGTAAACTAATCTAAGGACCTCAGGTAATATCAGAAAATTACAATCGCGAAATTTTAGTGACAAGTATGATATATATGAATAAGACAAGTTGGCAAAATTACATTTTCGTGTCTAACTATTATTTTTCAAATGGCGACCATTTTTTGACAAGCACTTTCCGAAAAAAGGATATTTTGACGAATCTAACGAAACTAATTTACTTGCGATTGGATTACAAATAAGAACATAAATTAAATATTACTGACGAAAATACTTCATAATAATTTATTTACTTTCGTCAAGTGTGCCATGGATGATAATTCATTTACTTGTAAGCACTTCCCGAAAGAAGGATATTTTGACGAATCAAACGATACTAATTTATTTGCGATTGGATCAACAAATTCAACAAGATTAACAATATCTTCATCGATGCACTCACATTTTTTTCAATTTCCTAATTCCTTAAAATTTTCACTATAGTGAATTTTCGAAGTGTATTCCTCCTTGTTCAAGACACATATTCAATATTTAATTTATGTTCTTACTGAATTATATCTGTTGAATATCCAGAAGGAGAGCATGAAAAATAAAAATCCTTTGAAATTGAGAATTGACAATCTCTCAACTCTGATAAATAATATTCGTGATTAGGTTTTCTCAATTCTCTCTCTCTTCTGGATGTTATGCAGTGAGAGTGATTTCTAGGGAATTAGGATTCCATACTGCCAAGATGGTATATTATTCACTAATAGATTCCCAATTACGATATGGCATACCTTTCTGGGGAGTGTGCAGTCCAACGTCTTTAAAAACTCTGTTAATTCTACAGAAACGAGCGATAAGGTATTTGTGTAATGTCAAACCCCGAGATTCTTGCAGAATTTTATTTTCCAATAATAAAATATTGACAGTGATTGCGCTATTCATTCTGGAATCTGTTTGCCTGATAAATAAGCACAAGTTGAAATTCACTACAACTCCCATCCATCATAACACGCGTAACAGAAATTTCAGTTTGAAACTTCCTCTACCCACAAGAGAGTTCATTAAAGATTCCATATACTATAATGGTGGAAAAATGTACAACCACTTGCCAGTTGATATTGAATCAGCAAGTCTGAATGACTGTCAATTCAGGAAGAAAGTCAAAAAGTTTCTCTCTGATAGATCCTATTACAGTTTGTAGGAATATTATAGTGATACGTTTGAGTTGTGATATTTTAGTATTTTAATGTGGTATTTATTTTGACTATATTTTGTCATTTATTTTTATGTCGTTATATTTTAACCAGTTTTTACAATATTATCTGACCTAGCTTTGTCAACAAGATTCTTCTTCAGACAATAAAGCATATTATTATTATTATTATTAATTCAGAATTTCTTTCCACGTCCTGTAGAATGAATATTAATTTGTCATAAATCCAAAAACAAAAACCGAATGATAGGGATTGAATGTCAACAATAATCCTCAGATGTCAGTTTCGTTATAGTTTTAGTTATATTATAGATTGATGAAAATTATTGTGTATATCATGAAGAATGGCTGAAAGATAACTGGGCTTTAGGTTACTGAGGGAGGGTTTGAAATCCGAAATGAGTTGATTCGAATATGATTTCGATTTTCATTTCAATACTGAACATATTGGTGAGTTATATTTTTATCATATTACATCATATTATTTATCAGATTTGAGAGATTCTCAATTCTCAATTTCAGAGGACTTTTATTTTCATGCGCTCCTTTTGGATGTTCAACAGATATAATTCAATGTTCGACGTGGCAAAAAGCCAGGAAAGTCGTTGTTTTCTGTTGAATATTCATAATGAAGTTCTGTGCATATACATATCTTTCGAGATATCTTTATCTGAAGGAGAATGCAAATTCACAACTTTTGAAGATTTTGTGTTCGAATTCTTATCGTGTGGGTTCAAAAGATATAATTCAATGTTCGTCGTGGCATATAGCCATCAGGAAAGTAGTTATTTTCTGTTGAATAAACCGAGAAAGAATTGACATTCTAATGACATACAGAATGCGAAATCTCGATGTATTTTTTTTTATGTTCTGGTTCCCATGAAAAGGAATATCCTGTAATGTTCAGAGAACATCGTGAGATCCAAGGTGAATAAGGTAGGAATTGGTGATCTTCTCAAATTTCTGCAGGTTATATGCATCGGGAAACACCTCCCATGGCAATGTGTTCCAGAGCCTCGCTGTTCATTGGATGAACGAGTCTTTGGAAAGAGATGTTTTGCAGGTCTCCAAAGTGACCACGAAGGGGTGCGAAGCCTCAACTCGACGGGTAAATCTCGCGGGGTCTGCCAAGGGAGGAACAATTGTTGATATTTCAAAAGAGCATCGTCCATGAAACTATCTATAAAATAGAGCCAGATCGCCAACTTTTCTACGGTGTCCCAGAGAAGTGAGTGAGTTTGTGAGCGAGGCATCACCCACGATTGACCTTTTTTGGACAGAATCCAACAGTTTCAGGGTATGTTTGGGTGCTGCACTTCAAATACGGGAACGGTATTCCAGGACGTGATTTTCCCAAGAAAGGTTATTGCTGATAGTAATCCCAAGCATCGAAATGGTTGTCTTCAAAGGTATGGTTACTCCTGACAAGCTTATGTTGGGCACAGTGAGATCGGCTTTTCTAGTGAAAAGGCATGCTTGTGTTTTGTTTGCATTGAAATCGACCAAGTTATTCGATCCCCATTTGAGAATTGTTGCCAGGTCCATATTTATGTTGTCAACATTTCTCCCTCGTTCGTTTCTGATTTGCCTGGCTGGAATTGGAGCCCTGGAAGAGAAGGCGGAATGGAGGGTACTATCATCCGCGAAGCTGTGTACTCGACATGAAGTTGCTTTCAACAAATCGTTGATATGGTGTTGGAAATAGTGTTGGTGCTAGAATTGATCCTTGCGGAACACCAGCATTTATGATAAGAGAGTCAGATGAAACTCCGTCGACCACTACATGGAGAGACCTGTTTGAGAGAAAACTAGCTACCAGAGAACATAGCTGGGGAGGCAATCCATAAGATGGAAGCTTGGCGAGGAGTCCGTGGTGCCAGGCTCGATCGAATGCCTTGGAGATATCAAGTGCCACGGCTAAGGTCGTTTCACCATATTTTTCAATAGATTGCTGCCGCTGCCATATATGTGAGACGTAAGCGAGCAGGTCATCAGTTGATCTCTGATGACGGAAGCCATATTGCCTATCGTTGATAATACCAGAATGTTCCATATATATATATATACATATATATACAGGGTGTCCCAAAATTAGCCTGCCAAAATTTTAATCAGAAGTGTATAATACCAGGTGGGACTACATTAAATATTGCTCAATATTGATTCACTTTTAATACTCATGAATTGTTAGAAGTTTTGAATTTCGCATTATGAATGGTGACGCCAGTTTTTATGCTGTTTCCTTATTGATCCGATAATCTTTCATTCCCACTCACGAAGCAAGGTTGTCAAGTCACCATTTATAATCAAGTTATCAGAAAGATGTTCGAGTCCTGTAGTTGAATAAAAGATAATAGGAGGAACTCATGATATTAGTATATTTTTGACTTTTTCGATCAACCAGCATGTCCAAATATTTCTTATACTCCATAACAAAATATCATGTGAATGTTGGAAACCAGGCAAGATTGTCCTGAATGCTGAGAACTGACAAAACCACGTCCACAATTCGTGCGCCGTTTACCGCTTCAAATGTCCTCTAGTGTGAATTGATATAGTTATTATTTTCACAAATTTATTATAAGCAATAAGCCACAGATCATAAGGGAACACTTTGAGAATTGATTTTTTCTTGCTGATTAGG